CATAATCTGACAGAGTTCAAGCATGGCATTTTTAAGAGCTCCCGAAAGGATTTCACCTTGCAGCCACGCAGGGTTAAGAAGCACTGTTAGCCTCTACCCTTAAATCATTTACCAGCCTGAAACATTAAATACATCATTTATTTGTTCAGTTCACCGACTCGGCAACCATTTACTGAGCTCCTACTGCAGGCCCCGCCCGGAGCTACTCAGAACTCTCCAGCAGCTCACATATCCAATACTAGATCCAAAAGATAAAAAGAACTTTTACAAGTCAACACAAAGAACACAACCCAACTGAAAAATTACCAAAAGATTTCAACAGATGCATCACTAAAGAATATATACAAATGAAAAAATAAGCACATAAAAATGTTCAACAGCATTAGAGAAATGCAATTAAAATCACAATGTGATATTACTAAAGTATCTGTTGAAGGACATAATAAAAAATATTGAGAATACCAGGTGTTTGCAAGGATGCACAGCACTGGAACTCTCATACATTGCTGCTTTGAATGCAAAATGGAATAGCCATTCTGGAAAACAATTTGACAGTTTCTTATAAAGTTAAATACACACTTACCACATGATTCAGCAATCCCACTCCTGAGTATTTACCCTAGATAAATGAAAACTATACATGAATGTTTACAACAGCTCTTTTCATAATTGCCAAAACCTGGAACAACCCACCTATCCTTCAACAGCTGAATGGGTAAGCTGTGGTAATTCATACAATGGAATACTATTGGGCAATATAAAACAGCAATGGATATATGCAACAATTTGTATGAATCTCACAGGCATTTGTGCTGAGTAAAAGAAGCCAGTCTCAAAACATTATATACTATGTGATTCTAATTTTATAACACTTTATTATTATTTTATAACATTAACAGAAAGGCAAAACCAAAGTAATGGAGAATAGAACAGTGGTTTTCAGGGATTAGAAATGGGACAAGAGTATGATAAATGAAGATATAATCAAGGCACAATTATAAAGGCACAACGGAGATTTGGGGGGTGATGAAACTGTCTGTATCCCCCTCCTGGTGGTTGTTATATGAATCTATACATGTGTTTAAATCATAGAGCTGCATTCTAAGAATAAATCAATTTTATTGCATGATGATAATTTAAAAAAACACAACCAAAAAGACTATGCTGAATTAAAAAAGGCTTGTTGGCTGAATGTAGCTCAGTACTGTCTTTCCCCAAAGTAGATGCTTAATTAACATTTGCTGAACAAAACCACTGAAAACTGGTTGTATTTTCTGCTTCAATATCAATCTCATTTATATTCCTAAGCTTCAAAAATTTCAACAACTTTTTGTGCGGTCATTAACATTTTCTATAATGGTATGTGCCACAGAAGTATATCTAGTTTGCACAAGAACAAATAATTTAAAATGTCAAATGAAAGTCAAAAATCTAGATTTTCCAACCAATTATTTAAACTTTAAAAAAGTTATCATTAATAAAAAAATTTTAAAATCTTGTATGCTTACCTTCTACATTAAAAAAAGGACAGGATCTGTACTGAAATACACAAAAGCATGGTATACCAAACAAACAGTTAATAAATGCTTATAGAATTAACTAATCTTTATTAAATATGGGATGAGCTGAATAGCTAAGCCATTAATTCATCTCAAATATTAACTCTTTCTAGAATTTACCTTTTTGTTTGAATTAGCAAAACTATTAAGTTTTATCTTTATTCTTTCTGGCTCAACCATGATGTGCACTCATATCCCTAACTCATGTCATTTCTATTTTAAATTTTCTTTGCTAAGGAGACATTGGGCATTTGCCTGTAGCTCCTGTGCAACCAACGAAACCTACTAGGATACCAGCATATCAATGAACTGTCACAGGTCTAAGACTCATTTATTAGCTAAGCAGATGGGTTAAATCACATGTGTGTGAATGAATGAAAGAAAACATCAAGGGGGAAAAAACTATTAACTGTAGTCTTGCTTTGCTCTAAACTCTATAAAACAGTGTTCCTAGCTGGAAAATGATTACTAAGATAGCTGAGGTTTTTAGAAGTACCCAACCCAAGAATTAAACACATTTTTAAATTTGCAAATATGTAATCTGTATATACATACAATACAGCGTAAGTATAATTTTAATATTTCTTTTAAATTTCTATTTGTTAGAGAATTATTTTAGAGCCTTCCACATTTAAAAAAATGTGTTTTATTGATTTTAGAGAGAGGGGAAGGAAGAAGGATAGAGAGAAACATCAATGAGAAACACTGATTGGCTGACTCCTACACACCCCCTACTGGGGATCCAGCCAGCCTGCAATCCCAGGCACATGCCCTGACCGGGAACGGAACCTGTGACCTCCTGGTTCATGGGTCCATGCTCAACCACTGAGCTACACCTGTTGGGCTCCACATTGCTTTTAAGATATTCTTTCTGGATATTCACTGAACATGTGACTATCTCGAATGTATCTAGGTTTAGGTCAAATTTTCAATATTTTTTTTAATTTTACAGCTTCAATAAATTAAACTATAAAGTATTTTATAATGGTGCTAAATATATTCATTGATACATTTTACGATATATGCTTTGATGTCGCATTACACCATCACTTGCAAATAAACCAGACTGGAATATTCTTGTCAGTTAACCAGTCAAAAATATAATAAACTATTACCAATTATTATAATTTTACTATCTAATTGAAAGATGAAAAATACCTAACCTAATTAAAGCACTTAAAGCAGTAACTTTACTTTGTTCTGTCTATAACTAGATCATAAGCAATAATGAGTTTGCTTAACTGTTTTTAAAAGAATGAACTATTACGTAAAGTTGCAGCTTTCTACATTTTAGCTTTGATGACATTGTTAACACATTGCAGACGGATCATGAGAATTCTCCCTTCATATTACACAGTGTTTTACAAAGTATCATACTTTAAAAAGATATTAGCTTGTAAGAATATGTAATAAGTAACTTCAAAATGCAATGGGTATTTAATTTTAAAGCATGCCTTTAACATTTATGTAAAACGTTTTTTGAACTGTTCAATAGAAACTTATCTGGCCACTGGGTAAAGCTAGCAATAAGACTACTGGTCTGCAATGTGTTAATATTCAACATACTGATAAATAAGGATTACTATCTATATCAGTGGTTCTCAACTTTCTGGCCCTTTAAATACAGTTCCTCATGTTGTGACCCAACCATAAAATTATTTTCGTTGCTACTTCATAACTGTAATGTTGCTACTCTTATGAATCGTAATGTAAATATCTGATATGCAGGATGGTCTTAGGCGACCCCTGTGAAAGGGTCATTCGACCGCCAAAGGGGTCACAACCCACAGGTTGAGAACCGCTGATCTATATAATAAAAGCCTAATATGCAAATCGACGGAACAGCGGAACAGTCGGTGGAACGACTGGTTGCTATGATGTGCACTGACCACCAGGAACAGACACTCAACGCAGGAGCTTCCCCCAGCCTGCAGACCCCAGGCCAGCCAAGGCAGGTGCCAGTAGGGGGCCCCCCCAGTCACCCCGCCAGTCGCTCCACAGATCAGCCCTGATCTCTGGCCAGGCCTAGGGACCCTACCTGTGTACAAATTTTGTGCATTGGGCCTCTAGTCTATATATATAAAAGCCTAAGTGACCGTTATGACCAGACGACTGGCCGGTAGCTGTGACACACACTGACCACCAGGGGGCAGATGCTCAATGTAGGAGCTGCCCCTGGTGGTCAGTGCGCTCCCACAACCAGCCTCCCTCGGCCGGCCAACCTCCCATGGTCCCTCTCCCCCTGCAGGCTGGCCCCGATCACCGGCCAGGCTGAGGGATCCTACCCGTGCACCAAGCCTCTAGTCCAGCCGTGGGCAAACTACGGCCTGCGGGCCGGATCCGGCCCATTTGAAATGAATAAAACTAAAAAAAAAAAAGACCGTACCCTTTTATGTAATGATGTTTACTTTGAATTTATATTAGTTCACACAAACACTCCATCCATGCTTTTGTTCCGGCCCTCCGGTCCAGTTTAAGAACCCATTGTGGCCCTCGAGTCAAAAAGTTTGCCCACCCCTGCAGTCTAGTCTATTATGAACATGAAAATAATAAAGGCAATTTGCAAAAATAAAGTTGATGTAGAAATATACTAGTCTTCAAACTTCCAAATTTTCATCCATTGACTTTAATTGCTTTCCTCAGCACCTAACATTTATTGCTTAGTCCCTTCACACACCCCACCCTTGAACATACCATTCTGGGTACAGAAGCTGAAATCAAAGAGAAGCATGCTCTCACATGAAACTACAGTAATGGTCAATTGTCCTTTAGATAAGGGGTGGGGAACCTTTTTTCTGCCAAGGGCCATGTGAACATTTGTAACATCTTTCACAGGCCATACAAAATTCTCAACTTAAAAATTAGCCTGCTATATTTGGTCAAACATTTAATTAACTCACCCTTAATGCTTTTGATTTTGCGGGCCTTATAGGGCCCGTGGGCTGGACCTTCCTCACCCTGCTTTAGATTACATTCACAGCATCACAGTTAACCATACCTGGATCATGTGGGCACTTAAATAAGGTCCTGGAAAATACCCATTAAAGCTAAATGTGATGAAAGGGAATGAATGTCACTAGATTAGATTTTCTTAGAGCAACTATTTTGCTTCAACTTAACTTGAAATAAAATCCTAACTTGAATTTAAAATGTATATGACAATCTAGTCTCAATATCATCAAGATTACTGTTCCTCTAAAATATTAACAGTACTGGGAAAAACTTCACAAAACAATATCTTCTAAACATGTGTGAGCATAGAGATAAACATGTCAATTACAAGACAGCTGCATAATTAATTAAGTTCACCCAGAGAGAAATGTCATTTCAAAAATGATCAAAACCAATTTTTTATATAAGGTATTCAAAGTTAGCTCCTCCCCAAGCGTCAACATTTATAATGTAGAACTTAACTTTTAGTAAATTCTTTAAAAAAATTACCTGCTTCTGCAACCATCTTTCATGCCTTCGTTGCTTCCTCCTCAGATTCTTCAACTTGCTCCTTTCTCTCTTGCTGAGCCTCTGATGAATGGCACCCAATGGAAAACTGCCCGAGCGCAGAAAGTCCAGGGGCGAGAGGTGCTCCTCCTGGTCCGAGGCCTCCAGCGTGCGCCTGCCCGCGGAGGGCAGGTCCATCAGGAATGCCAGGCCGTTAGAACTGGCATGGTCAGGGCACACTGCAGAAGCTCCCAGACCACTCTGAAATTCTCCTCCTCTTTGTGTCTGGGTCTCACGGGGAGCCGCTGAAAACCTCGGCAGCAGCATATTAGGATCAAAACTTGATGCTATGTGAAAGGAACAGCTATTTTTACTAGATTCCAAAGGCAGGTCCAAAAGGTCCTCAGGCTGGGTTTCATTTAGTCTGGCACAGGCGGTAGTCTTACTATGAATTTCATAAAATGTGGGTAATAAAGTCAGCTTCTCACTGATGCTCAGATCCAAGCTCTGTGATTTTCTGTGGGAAGCTCTTCTGGTGCATCTGCCAGTCACAAGCTGCGGGACAAAAAGCTGGTATTTTGAATCGGATGCTTTGAAGAGCAGTTTTTCCTTCTTCATCTGAACACACGTCGACCGCACCTCCAGGCACAGTGCTTCTGTTAACCTCCCAGAGCCATTATTCTTTTGGGCCATGTTTAAAAGCCTGCGATTTCTGTTTTTGAAGGCACCGCCCGTCAGCAGAGCTTCGCTGTCACCACCTGACCGAACTCTAGGATGTGACAAGTATTTCGGCGATGGTCTCATTAGTCGGCCTGCCTGTGCTGGCTGGTAATCGGTCCGGCTCTTGGAGAGGTGTACAGCTGCACGCTGGCCACAGGAACATTTTGGAGTGCTGACAAAATTAAAGCCCCCTAAACGGGCCCCACAAAAAGGGCAATTCAGTTTTCCCACTGTCCACCGGGCCTGCAGGTAATAAAGGCAGATAAAGACAATGCATTCATTGTAAAGTAATAAAAAAGAATGTGTGTGTGTGCATGTGTTTTTAAAGCCAACCACATGAAAGTTTTCTATGCCACAGAAAAGGCTGGCTTTCTGTTTTCTGATTAGTAGACAGAATAGTCAATGGAAACAAGCTTTCTAATGGAGATGAGCAGCTCCAAAGTTCTAGAATGATAACATATTGCACTTCATGCCCATTGAAACAATACTCCTAAGAATTCTAAATGAATCTCTTAAACAATAGATTGAATATGGATACAGTGTGAGCTAATGAAAAGAAAAATGCACTACAGAACCAAGAAGCACATCAGTCTACAGAGCTTAATTTGCAAGTAAAATCTCACAGAAAAGTGTCTGTTTTGATACACTTCTTGCATACCAAGCACTGTGGGAGGGAACTTCCCCCAACCATCAGAATGAAGCTCTTCCTGCCGTTTACACACAACCAAAAGATATTGGCTGCACACTCCGAGGGAGCGTTTTCTATACTCAGATTTGAAATTAACGATGGGCTGGCTTAAAATCTTCTTTTCAACAGAGGCAGTGAAACATCTGCTGTGTCCTAATACAGTTTGTGAAGTTCAGGACACGTACAAGCACCACACTGGCATTTCCCCAACGAATCATTACAATGTGAGAATGGATGCAAGGAACAGCTAGCTATCAAATGTTATCGTTTAACAACAGCAGCAAAAACGTTAAGGTAGTCAGTGGAGAAAGACAACTATATTTTTCTAAAACTCATATTACTTATAGTTTTCTAAGACTTGTGTCTTGAATTGTGAGAAATAATGATACTATACTATTAACAAGGTGAGTTCTTACTCTTATATTTCATTAAAGATCCTTAATAGTGTAGTATTTTGATTTTTACTGTGTTAAGTCATTAATTATCCAGTTGATTTTATTATGCATACATGAATACTATATACAGGATATTTCATTCACTCAATAGACACTGTTCTATGTGCTGGGGATACAGTAATAAACAAAATATAAAGATCCTTGACTTCATGGAGTCTACATCCTAGTAGGAGAGCTGGGCAATTGACAAGAGTGCATATATATGCATTATATACACTAAATTTAAACTGTGTATAATAATTCATGTAATTATATTTGTAAGATGTACTTACGCATATTTAAAGTATTACTTATAGTTTGTGTCTGTGTAACTTATAGATAGGTAGGTAGAGCAGAGACGGAAGAAAATAGTGGTAACAGTGAGGATAGTTGATAGAGAGGTCAGGTGATGCCTCCTTGAGAGGAAAGGAGGGAATAGGTGAGTATCTGTGGGAAGAGCTTTCAAGCCAGGGGGAGTACCAAATGCAAAGGTGAAGTAGACAAGTGCTGAAGCACTCCAGTAATAATAAAGAAGTCATAAGTGTAGAGTTACACAGCTTCTGTATATTGTACTGTGTGTTCACCACCCCAAGTCAAGTCTCCTTTGAAAAATAATTTTAAAAAAATAATTACATAGCTTTCCATGTCTGTTGAAATAATGCATCTAAGAAAAATAGCTCTAAAATAAGGACATCTGAAGGCAGTACATCCCTAATTTCACTCTGACTCCGGGAACTTACTTTTTGTAGTAGGCGGTCTATCCATTCTGGAAGGGCTTCTATATTCATGTGCCACACACGACAGGTATTTTGATCATCAGCTGAGTCCTGTTATATCAAAATGCATGGTATTAGCTATTACCAGTTCAGAATTCATTTCACAAATTCGTATTTGAATAAAACACAAAAATATAAGTTCAATTTTAGCTAGGAAGGAATAGACAGTGCCTTCCTCTCCTCATTCCCATTTCCAAAAACAAACCCACAAAGACAAAAAAGAAAAAAAAAAGTATTTTCAGGAAATAACTGCCTATGAATTTAAAAAAAAAAAAAAAGCCCTCCAGTTCACTGAGTTCATCTATTAAAGTGTCGGCCAAACCTACAGAAGTTATTTTATCACAGTTCCTCGTAAGATGATAACAGGGACATTTCAGGCAGAGAGGGATTTAATTCTTGGTTTCAAACTGGCAACATAAGTTCGTATTCCTGTTAAGCCACAAAACCTATACAAGATATTTAATTTTTTTTTTAATTAATAGCTAAACTAGAAAATACAGATGGGGAGATTTCAATGAACCAGAAATTGAGAGGAACCTCTGAAAGATTAATGAGGGAAACAGCAGCATACTGTATCCAAGTACATAGCAGATAAGAACCACACAGAGAATGGTCCATGCCAAAGTGGTGGAGACTAGAAGCAGGAAGGGCTCTGGGAAACTATTAGAAGTGAAGATGAAGTCTGTGTGTCTCCAGCCAATAGTGTTTGGGGCAGAGAGAAATAGCACAACATCGCAGGGTGGCTGGAAAGGCCTGGAAAAAATGAAAAGCATCCACAGTAAGTGCAGAAGATGAGCTAGGGAGGACCAACTTCTATTCTCACTGAAAATAGTACCATGACTTATAAAGAGTGTGATGTAGATTTGTTTGCACTAATAATATATATCTCTAATACATATTGTTTGGTTTTCTTTGAAAAAGCAAGTGGAAGAGAAATACATACAATTCTGTATTATGATATTAAAAGCATATACAGCTTAAAGACAGTATTACACTTTTCTATGGAAACATATATATGTAAATTTTTTAAAAAGTACCTAAAAGGAAACTAACTTTTCCATGATTGTTTTAATGGGATAATATATTATACTTCGTAAAATTTAAAAGTTACTTAAAAATTGATTCAAATAAAAATAAAATATCGGTTCTAGAAATGCTAGAGTAAGAAGTATTAGACATGTTCTCACCATTAAAATTGATAAAAGTAGGCAAGATGAAAAACATTGATAACATGAGACAAAGATAGACACTTTATAATGATAAAAGGGACAATTAATCATTTGTTAATATATATGTGCCCAACCTAGGAGCACCAAATATATAAAGCAACTATCAACAGACATAATGGGAAAAACTGACAAAAATGAAATTAAGTAGGGGACCTGAATACCCTGTTGACAGCAATGGATATCTCATCCAATCATAAAGCCAATAAGGAAACATCAGCCTTAAATGATATATCAGAAAAAATGAACTTACTATTTTTAGAATTTTCCATCCCAAAACCACAGAATACACATTCTTTTCAAGTGCACATGGAACATTCTCAAGGATGGATCATATTTTGGGGTACAAAACTAGTCTCAATGAACTTGAGAAGACTGAAATCATATCAAGCATTTTTTCCAACTATAGAAGAAAGAAACTGGAAATAAACTACAAGAAATCTGGAAAACCACAGATATGTGGAGATTAAACAACATGCTATTGAACAACTATTGGGTCAAAGAAGAAATAAAAGAAGAGTTTTAAAAAATACATAGAGACAGATGAAAAAGAAAATACAAAATACCAAAATTTGGGGGGCTGCAACAAAAGAGGTACTAAGTGGGAAGCTAATAGGAGTACAGGCCTACTTCAAAAAACCAGAAAATTTCAAATAATCTAACATCACACCTTCAGGAACTAGAGAAGAACAAACAAAGCCCAAAGGAAGTAAAATAATAAAAAAAAATTGAGCAGAAATAAATGAAATAGAGAACAAAAAGACAAAAGAAAAAAATAACCAAGAGTTGGTTCTTTGAAAAGATAAATAAGACTGGCAAAAATAATTCAATATAATTCAACATATTAACAGAATATGGAAGAAAAAGATGAAGAACATGTCAATACATCTGGAAAAAATCATTTGATAAAATTCAACACTCATTCATGATAAAAACTCTCAGAAGACTAAGATAGCAAGGGCATCTACTATACATTTTAAAGATGCTATATGAATATTCCTACAAGAATAAACATTGGAGTTGTATTTCTAGGTAAGTGGGAGAAGTTTTACAATGTACTTATTCTTATTCTTACTAGGTTAACAAAAAGTTATTACTATGACCAGGCATTGTTTAAGGGTTTTACTATTTTACAAATAAGGAGAAACAAGAGAAATAAAGTAACTTCTATGTAACTTGTCCAAGGTCACAGATACGCAGCAAAGCAAAGATTTCCATCCAGGCAGTCTGGCTTCAATACTCGTGTCCTCGGTCACTAAGCTTCCTATACCAAATAAATCATTAATTTTATCGTTCTGAGGGCAATGAACCTCCTTACATCATTAGTCCAAGTATGTTTTAAGACACAATGCTACTATTCTTCCCTAAGCTTACAAAACAAAACAAACAAACAAAAACCTGGGGCATAATTTATTTTTAAATTAACCAAGAATATACACAAACTTACACAGAAGAAAGGCAGGTTTAGAAAACATTCTACAGTTGATGGATATGTGAACCCCAACCCAATCTCCTTCATTTGAGAACAATTAATATAAAATAAGCATATATTTTTCTCTAAATAGTTAAAAGTTAAAGCATACTTTTATGCCAACAACAGACTAAAACCAGTTACAGCAACTGATATAGGTGAGAGGAGTATAAAGGCTGGGTTAAGCGTGTATAGCATTCTGCTCCCTTTCCTGGAAGCTTAGAAATGGCAGAGGCAACCAGGGTAAACACAGAAGCTTCGATTATAAATGAGACTGACAACTACTCCACTCGTATTTATGAACACAAAGCCTTAGAAAAATAATGTGTATGACATTCATGTTATTTACTTCCAATATAATTTTACAGGTAAAATGGGACATAGCAACTATTAAGGTTTGTAAGTCTATAGTCACTTAATTTAAAAAAATCACACAAATATATGATAAAACAAGTTCTAATGAGTGTATGTTAAGATGATTGATTAAACTGGAAGCAACCTGATTTGAACAAAGCCTTTACAGTAGGGGACTAACAGGTTATCTCCTTGGGGAAAAATTAAACTGAAAATTAGAAAAACTTTATTATGAGGATTTTATAAATTCTACTAGACAAATTTTCATGTCTGAAAATTATCACATTGGGTGAAGAGAGGAAGGAAAGAGAAAGTAACTAACAATTTCACACAATGCTGTCAGAAAAATGTTGATAAAATATTTTGAAAATGAAACTTTTTGTTCGAACAGCAGGTGGGGCTAATGCACTGTTATTTCTATTTTTGTGTTAAGGGTGGAGACTTTTTAGTGGCTGTGTAGGAGAACCTAATTTTAAAATTACAAATTTTAAGCATTATCATCTTTATCATTTAATGATATTTAAGATTTTTAATTAAGCAGAACATGTTAAATGTGAAATATTGATGCAAAGAATTTAATATTATTATATAATGTTTTGAAAGATGTTTAACACGGTATTTCTCATGTTAGCAATAACATTCCCTTACTAATTCATTAAAAGTGAGCCAAATATATTATTTAACTACTGCAGTTATAAACACTACAGAAAAAGATCAGGTAACAAAAATGTCACTTAATTAACATTACTAATTAAATGTTTAAAGTATTACAAATGTAAAGAAACCACATTCTGCTGGACTGCCTGGTTTTTCTATTTATACTTTAAGAAGGTACTTCAAGGTGAAAGGGAATGAATGAAAAAAAAATGAAAGCCTCACTTAAGGGCAGTCTCCCCGAATCCATTCTTGCTACCTTTCTAATTCACTCATCACACAATAGCCAAAATTATCTGTTTTAAAATTTAATGGTTATGTCATTCCTTTTCAGTGTCTTCCCAGCTCTTAAAGATCAAAGTCCTTAATTTAGTGTACAAAAACCACAAATGATCTAACCAATACTCATCTTTCTAGCTTCAAATCTTGCCAAACTCCCTCTGGATCTCTCAGCTCCAATCATGGGAATCTTCTAGTTCCAAGGATACACCACATTCTCTCCAACACAGGGCCTTTGCACATGCTGATCCCAAAGCTTGGAATGTTCTCCCTCTGGACTGCCCTTGCTACTCATCCACCTTATCTCCACACAAGTCACTTCCTCAGAAAAGCTTCCCCGACACAAGTAGGTCCAAACCTCTGTCTATATCCTATTCTCACGGCTCTCTATACTTTTCATTTTTGCCACCTAAACAGCTGAAATTTAATATGTATGATTGATCCCTATCCTGAAAGCTTCACAAGGACAGAATATCTCCCTTCTGTTCTTCGACGTTCCAGTGCCTATCACAGGACCTGTCATGTCTTAGTCTGCTTGGTTTGCCCTACAAAATACCATGGACTGGGTGGCTTAAGCAATAGACATACATTCCTCACATTTCTGGAGGCTAGAAGTCAGAGATCAAAGTGCCCGCATGTTCAGGTTCTGGTGAAAGCTCTCTTCTCAGATTGCAGACTCTGTGTCCTCAGGTGGGAGGAATAGAGTAATGGAGAAAGAGGGAGAAAGAGAGTGGTGAGAAGGGGAGAACAGAGAAAGTTCGAGAGACACAGAGACATTTGATAAGAGGCCATAGCCTCTTTTCAAATCGGGGTCCCATTCTTATTACCTCATTAGCCTTAATTACCTCCCAAAGACATATCTTCAGAATCAGTCATATTGGGGGTTAGGACTTCCATACATGAATTTGGGGGCGGGAGGGAGGACACAATTTAGTTCCTAGCAGGTAATAAGACTACGTATGGAATAAATATATGCTAACACTAAGAAAAGGGCACATAAAATATTTAAAATGTAATAAGCAATACAAATAGAATTTATTTCAGTATTATAGCTATTGAAGAAAAGATACCAGCAGGATAATAAAGCCAGAAAGAAAATGAGCAAAAATATCCAGCCAAAAAGGTGAAGGAGGAACTATATAATCTATGATCAATTCAATATTCATCGATCATATTTATGGCCATCACTGTATTGGTAACATAAGAATGAAACACTTCATAGCCTGGTTATGGGAAAAGTCATAACCCAAATGATTATAATGCTTCATAGTAAGTGTTGGACCATTCCCCAGTTTCTATTTTCCTCCACTCTCTGGAATTTGGTATCTGCCCCTACAACTCTCACACTACAATGAACGTTGACCAATGATCTCCTTTTTGCTACAACTATTGCACACTTTTAGTTCTCATTCAGGGTCTCCATACTCTGCACAAATCTGGGGCACCTTTCACTGACTAGCATCCTCTACAACTGTGTAGTGCACAGCATGCTCACTGAAGGCACTGTCTGATCTTCTACATCTCCCCACAACGTTCACTACGACTAACCAATACCTACTTCTGGAAGACATCTGCCCTTTGATTTTCATAACACTGTATCCTACTTCCTAGTCTTATCTTTCTTGCTATTCCCACCTCCCTATCTTGTGAACTTCTTTTTTCTGTCCACTCTTTAAATATTCCTAAGAACTCTTCTTTCTCACTTCATTCACTCTGTATGGTGTTCTCATCTACTCTTGAAGCTTCACTCACCTCCTATATGTGACGACTCCCATATAGCTCAGATCCATTTTAAATTCCATACCCATAGAACCAGCAGAAACCCCCGAATCTCTATTTGAATGTTTTGTAGGTCGCATAAACTTGACATGTCCTAAAGTACACTGAAACTGTTTAAAAAACTAAAATTGAGGACACAATTCTCCTCATGGCCCTGGACATCACTTCTGTTATTTTATATTTATACTAGAGGCCCGGTGCACGAAATTCATGCACAGGTGGGGTCCCTAGGCCTGGCTGGCGATCAGGGCCTATCCGGGCTGTCTTGCCCAGTCCCAATTGGGGCCTGCCGGCTGCCGGGGCCTGCCAGACAGGGGGTCTAGGGGGAGGGACCACAGGAGGTTGGCTGGCTGTGGGAGGTTGGCTGTGGGAGTGCACTGACCACCAGGGGGCAGATCCTGCATTGAGGGTCTGCCCTCTGGTAAACAGTACACATCATAGCAACTGGTCGACCAGTCATTCCGGTTGTTCGGCTGTAATGGTCGCTTAGGCTTTTATATAGAGAGATTTTTAGATCTTTTATTGTTACTTTGCTTTTGGTTTGGTTCTTGCATGCATTTCAGACTTGAAGGTGTGGTAGGAGCCCCCTTTTCTCCCTGTAGACACAGTAGATTGTTTGAAATTCCATTCTAAATTCCCTTACTACATGCAAGTGGCTGGAAAACTAAAGCTCAAATGTCCAAGATTTCCTTTCAGTTCAAGTTCCACACATGGCCTAGCTTCCACCAAGCTGATGCACCTGCTCAATACTATAGACGCAGAAGCGATGACTATCTGTGCTGACTTCAGGCAAACTTGTTTTTGGAAGCACTTGGTTATTGTGCAGCAAAAGTTACAGTAACTCCAGTGCCCAGTTCCTAGCTTTGTGGGGGCTGAGAGGCAGAGTGTGAGACTCCCACTTCCTGGCACGGGGCCAGGATAAAGGAATACGATCCTGGAGACAAAAACTATGGATGCTGTTTCCCAGCTTTCTAATCCTCAATGCTGTTCTGAGAGCCATTTCATATCTGACAGGGTATGGAACATATGAAGAAGAGGTCCAGGGTTTGCTCAGGATAGGGAGACCCAAAGGGGGAATCCCTACATAACGCTGGGTTGTAATGTCAGCATCAGGGTAAATGAAACATAAACCCGTTGCTCAGGACAGCACAGCCGGAAACCTGCCTATCTCAAATGTGGTATTCAGTAGATGGAAACGAAAAAAATCCTCCCCTCTGGGTACAGAAGGATTTCTTAAGAAAAAGTAAAAAACATAAAGGACATGATTAATAAATTCATCTATATTATGTTATGAACTATTCATCAAAAAGACCATAAAGAGAGAAATATAAGTTATATAAACTGGCAAAAGCTATTTGCCAATGCAATAAACAACAAGGGATTAGTATTTAGAATAAAGAACTTCCAAAAATAAAAACAAAACTACCTAATAGGAAAGCAGGCAAGAAAAAAAGACATTTTACAGAAAACACAAATAGCCTCAGACAATGAGACGATGTTAGAGTGAAAAGGAAATAACCATGATCAAATGTGGCTGAGGCAAAACACACAAAACCCAAGTGTCTCTCAAAGAAGAGAAAGAAAACAATGTTAGGTGACCACAGCCACTCTCTCTGTTGAAGTGAGAATTCCCTGTAAGATCCATGGATTGCTGTCTATTTTACACCTCTTAGATATTGCTCTTAGGGAAGTTTAGGGATTTTACTTTTGTTGAATTAAAAACATTTATTTTTAGCCCTGGCCAGTGTGGTTGCATTGTCCTATACACCAAAAAAGTTGCAGGTCCGATTCCTGGTTAGGGCACATACTCAGGTTGCGGGTTTGATCTCTGGTTGGGGTGCATACAGGAGGCAACCAATTGATATCTATCTATCTCTATCTCTCTCTCTCTCTCTCTCTCTCTCTCTCTCTCAAAATCAACTAAAAAAACCATATAGAAACATTTATTTTTATCAGGGCAACCAGGTAACACTTTTTGAATATTATTCAGGTGTTCCTATTGACTTTTTGATTATACACGAACTTTCTCTTCTAGGCTCATAGTGAATCCTCAAAAAATAAAATACAATAGGTTTTCCATTTCTTAATAGGATCTTGAATTTAATTGTTTGGTGATGAGTAAGATTCACTCCTGGTAGGAATAAAAATATGGACTATTATTACCTTAACTTATGTCTATGATATTACACTTGAAACTTTAAGGTCATGTTAATGTGAGCAGCTAAAGGTAAAATTAAGTAACTGGGGAAGGTGGGATGCCTTTTGAATAGCACTTTGAAATGTTTTTAGTAGGTAAAGCTAAGTCGGGTGTGGAGGGAAATGTGTGCCCGTGTGGGTGGCCACACCATTCCTAAACTAGGAAACTAAAACTAGAGTTAGCGGTACTGACCTTAGTCACTTGATTCTCAAGATAGTTCATGAAACAACCAGAACGTGCTATACATTTTCTACATTTCCAACACCGAAGAACATTTATTTCTTCTTGATTATGATTTTCAGTTATCACTTCTTTACTTCTTTTCATCTGTGGGGAAATAAATTAATGTTAGAATGCTAAACTGTCACATTAAACTTGATTTTCTAAACCCTTTGTACAGCATTAGCTACATATGGAGCAGAAGGAAGGGAATTATTATTTATTGAGGTACCTACTAGTTACCAGAGTTTAGGTTAGAAACACTCTGTAAACAAGGTCTGGGATTGGAAATTCCATTTCATTATTATGATGATGCACTGTGTTAGTAACTCCCAGCTTACTTTATTTTTGCAGAACAGATTCTTTCCATCTGTTACTAAAAGTGGTAAAAGGCAACTGTTGAAGGTCAAATAAGTTATTGCAGTGGCTTTAAAAGAGTCATAACAAAGAAGTACAAATATTCCTGTAAATAAGACATTTTGAGTAGCCACAGCATTACATTTTAAATATAAGATTTATTGAGTTGTGGTTAATTTTGTGAAAATTGAAACTTACTTACTTTAACCAAATTGATGGCAAAAATCCCTTATGCTGAATGCAAGGGATTGTATATTGTACTCAGTGGAACAGTTAACTGTACTACATCTTGTGGCATGTGTAGTCAACCAAATAAACTTAAGAGAACAGATCTACCAATTTTATAGTCTATTTTATACCTGATATTTGATAGCAATGCTGTGATTTAGACCAATTTATAAAAACAGTTTCACACTAATAAGGATTCCAAAATAGATGCAGTGTATTCAATAATTGGCCTGCTAACTATTCATTATAAAGAAAGGAAATGTTCATTTATTAAGCTACCCACAAGAGTCTACTGCCTTGTTCCTAGCCACATTTCCTCATTTGTTAGCTCTTCCATTTTTCATTCATTCAGTGAATATTTACAAAGAGCTAACCATATGCCACAGTAAGTCCAACTCCAGGGGCACAAAGATGAATAAACCGTATTTTCTGTCACAGAAGTGCTTGCTGTGCTATAACATCAATAGTTTCTACCCTAGCCCATTAGACTCACTTAGGAAGCTTTAAGAAATAGTGATGCTTAGGCCCTACCCTTAGACATTTTGACTTATTCTTGAGATGAGGAGGAAGTTAGGAATGGGCACTTTAAAGAAGTATCCCAGGTGATTCCAGAGTATGGTCAGGGTAAGGACAGAGATGCACTACAGAAACAATGAACTACAATGCAACAGCTATAAGGACTACAAGAGAAGAAACACAGATGGATCTTCACCACATTTAAAGGAAGGATTTAAGGAACTCTGCCTGAGAGATCACAGCATGCCCCTGTTGCAGCCAATCTAGCTCTGACCTTCAGGTTGCTAGGCAGCAGTTCTGTATCTGCTAACATCTTCAGAACCCACCTTAGCTCAAATTTTTCTTTTACAGATGCTCCCCAGAAAAGAAAATTACTCCCACAGTAACTGAACACACCTGTACAGAAGCACTGGTCATGCTGTATTACACTTATCTGTGTGTATTGGTGTCTTACTGATTTAATTGTGAGCTCCTAAAAAGCACCATATTCTATTCCAGCGGTCACCTTTCGGACCTCACAGACCACCAATGGTCCGCAGACCACCGGTTGGCGATCACTGTCTCTCTATTCTTACAATCAGACATAGTATCTCTGGTACCAAAAAAAAGACACTCAACCAATGTTTGTTGTAATCAAATTAACAAGGTCTGGCAGAAAGCTCAACTTACAAAAAAGTTTTTCCCCATACCAAGTGTTCAGTATGTCTCCCAACTAATGGGACAAACCAAATAGAAGTCCTTTTGCAGGGACCTGAGAAGTTCAAGGGAAGAAATAAACCTATGCTTATACATAACTGAGATTGAAAGGAGAACTATCAGTTACCCAATAGTGATATATTTACGGGAAAGCTGAAGTGGCTTCTGTCAGAGAACTTTTATTAAAAGAAGAGGTTGAATATGGTACAGGAATTTAGAGAAAAAGGAAGGGAGAGGGAGAGAGAGAAACATTAATCAGTTGTCTCTTGTGTGCAACCCAACCAAAGAAGGAACCCACAACCCAAGTATGGGCTCTGACTGGGAATAAAACCCACAACCTTTTGGTGTATGGGATGACACTCCAACCAACTGAACCACACTGGCCAGGGCAACAAACCGTTTTTTTACTGCATGTGTGAAGAGTCAAATGACTACTGATAGACTTTGTCACCACTGTCATGATTCTGTGAAGGGACCAGAAGTTTTACTCATTATTGCTTTTGTATTATTAATGAAAATGTCAACACAGTAAAATAAAAAGCGCAAATAGCATCTTAGTATTACCAAGAAACCAGTGTGAGCTGAATTTTCTGAAGGATTAGAGACACCGGGGCCATGAACCACATTTTGAGAACTGCTAGTTTATGCAAAACAACTGTCCCAAAAGTGATGACTACAAAAATCTTATTTCCTACCAATATCCTTTAAAATATTTAAGAATAGATGTGTCTCTATGGAAAAACATATTTATAACAAATTGGTTGAATTTTCTATAAAGCCAGCTACTGGAATTATAACCTCCATGAAGAATTTTCATTCCTTCATTTACCTTTTGCTATTTACTACTTTTTCTGATAAAATATCAGAGGTCTAATTCCATACTCCTGGGTCTCCAATTTTGCTTACCTCTTCTTTGTAATTCATGGATATAAATGAGATATAGTGGACAAAATTATAAACTATTAAAATTAACCTAAAATTAGAGAACAAAAATAAACCAAAAAACTTTAAAAATTAAAATAGAATTGAAATATTTTCTTCAAAACCCATAAAAAATAAAGAGAGGCCCAGGCAAAATTTATATAATTGGAAAATTTTACCTATCCTTTAAGAAATGAACAGTCTTTGTAACTTATATAATTGTGGCCCAGAACATATAATAGGAAAACTAACTCCACAAATATAACCTTGTGTATTAATTAGACAAGGAGATATAAAATTAGGCAAGGAGAGTATAAAAAATTACATACCAATATATTCATGAACATAGATAATAAAATCCTAAGTAAAATATTAGCCAACAGAATTGATCAAAAAATTAAAAGAATAACACATTTTGGCCATATAAATTCATTTCTAGAAATTCAAGGGTGTTTCATTCAAACACACACACACACACACACACACACACCAAAATTATTAAAAGAAAAAACACATGGCCACCTTAAAAGATGCAAAACAAAACTTTTGATGAAACTCAGTGCTTACTGTAAAAACTTGCAGTAATGTTAGTTAGCCTTCTGTGTGTGTCTGTGCCCTACGCCCCTCATCTGTGCCCCATGTCCATGCCTGTCTGTGTGTGAAAACAGTGGATAAAGAATGCTCAACATGGAGCAATGCCTACAGGGACAACTTTCATCATCTGGTCCTGGACCCAAGGTCAGTTTGTCATGATAGGTGGAAGTCAAGGAACTGCAATGGGACAAGAAATCAGAGCTGTGTGTTCCTCTGCCTACAGGGGGATTACTTATCACCAAGGAAACACTGGAGAATGGAGATACAGGAATGTGTCCCTGCTGCTCTCTGACTATGAAAGTGACATAAATCAAATATCAGTTTATATGTGGATAAGCAGTCCCAGCCCATTCACCACCGAAGAAATGGTTAAATGTGAATGAAGACTTTTGGAATACAAATCCTGAACAGTTGGGAATAGGCCAAGGCAGAAATATTTAACATAAAGTAAACCTCTCACATCGGGACTGTAAACAAAAATCTGGAGATACCTTTTTAAAGAGAGTATATTTAGGTAAGGATTTGAAAACTGAGAAATGAAGTCCTTCATATTCTCAGTATGAACTGGGAATATGTTCCAAAATGGAGGGGGCACCTCAGAGTTTATAAAGGAAAAGTTGCTAGGAGCTGTTGATCAAAGAGATGGGTTGCTAGGGGCAACAAGACCATAAACTCCATCATTTCTGATTGGTGGGTGCATTTTGACTCTCAATAGTTGTCTGACCTAGTGAACAAGCAAGTTGGGTCGTGAGGTGAGTACAATCTATATATATAAAAGCCTAAGTGATCGTTATGACTGGACGACCGGACGACCAGACGGTAGCTATGACGCGCACTGACCACTAGGGGGCAGACGCTCAATGCAGGAGCTGCCCCCTGGTGGTCAGTGCACTCCCACAGCCAACCTCCCACTGCTGGTCAACCTCCCGAGGTCCTTCCCCCGCCCTCGGCCAGCCAGCCAACCTCCTGTGGTGCCTTCCCCGGCCGGCCGCCCCGATTACTGGCCAGGCCGAGGGTCCCCTCCCATGCACGAATTCGTACAGCGGGCCTCTAGAAAATAAATAATAAATGAATTCAGTCTCATGCTTATCTTGGCAAGTCCTAGTTTCAACTCAGGCCCATAGAACAAAAAGGCTGTCTTTGATCACACAATCATAGTACAGGGAGTATTACTTAACAATGACACAAGGAGTACGATTTATCAAACAGTACAATCAGCCCGGGAGAGGCTGCTGGCCTTTCTGGAGCCCAAAAGGGCAAAGTTATGCTCTGCAAGCAGCTTCACACCTCAAGCTGCAAAAATTCAAGTTTTGGATCACAAGTTACGATATTAAAGTTCTTATAAGTCATCAGGACAACAGCTTTGTAATTTTGTATTTCACAGAACTTTGAATGTGAATATTCTAACTTTTCTATCAGAATAATAAAGAAAAACAATTTTAAATTAGTATTTTCCAGCAATTTCATTATCTTCATACATGAACATCTAATTATTTGGGTAGAGAGACAGGGAGGGGAAAATAGGTTGAACATAGGAGGATTTTAGTTTATGTTACTATAGTGGAGAATTAATGACATAATACATTTGCTAAAAGTTCTAAAACTACATAACACAAAGACTGAGCCCTAATGTAAACTAAGAACTTTAGATTAAAATATCAATATAAGGTGGGACAAAAGCAGTTGTGAGTACCTAAAACAGTTTATTTTTGTATTATTTATTTATTAATTATTCTATTATTTTCCATATGAACTATAAACCTACTTTTGCCCCAGCCTGTATTAATTCATCAATT